AAAAAATTATTAAGGCAGTTCTTCCTGGATGCATTGATGCATATTTTGGGAAACTAAATGGTAATCTACAAACTTATGTGTGAGAATGGTCTTGGATAATTTCAGCTACTGAACTTGTTTTAACCTAATTCTACCAACTAGAATTTTTTATTCTCAGTCTAAACCTAGCAACACTATGTCCAGCTGAAAACTTTTAAAGTCTTTAAAATTCCATATTTTAAAGAAGTCTGAAGAACAATAGTAGTGGCCCCAAAGGGGTATTTCCAGAAATTTAGTCTGTGCAGGATCAAGCACCATGGACTGAAATGACTCATTTGGCAAGGCTGGAATAGAAAACACACAAAATGAATGAGAGATTTAGAGAGATACTTGTCCTTTTTTCTCGGGTCTCTGTGACCGACAGGAATTTATATTGTTACAGTTTTATATTATTGCTAGTTTGTTTTTATCATTTCATAGTATTTAATGTTAATGTATTCTACATTTATTTGTTATGCCATCCATCTTTCTATATACCTTTACAATTCCAGCAGATTTTCATCCTTTAACTAGTAGATGTATTCTATACATTTCCAGCAGTTTAGTTACAAATCTTTCTTTGTGTTTTTTTTCATGATGCTTCTTGTATCATCTCTATTCACTTAACATAGAGCCAGTATAAAGTATATTTAAATGTTTCCCTAAATAGGTCAGAGTTTGAATGTGTTTACGGACCTAGGAGTCGTAGAGTCGGTTTGACCATGCAACCATTAAAATTTAAAATTACTGCTAACAGGACAAGAGAAAAAAAATATTTGTTTGTGTTACTGGAAACCATTTTTAGAAAAACTGCAATTTAGAGGTTTTGGAAATATTGTGTAAACACTTGGCAGATCATTCCAAAAAAAGGAAAGGAAATTTTGTACTGTTGCTTTAATCTAAATCTGTCTGGCGTAGGCAGTAGACCTAAACATAGAGGTGACTCAGTCTTGTGTAGGTACTTGGAAAAATTGTAGCTGTTGTAGAATATGGTAATTGGATCAAGATATACGTGGGAGATGAGTTTGAGGAAGGAAGAAGTGGTCAGGATTAAACTGGGTGCTGTGGTTACAAAAAATGCCAAATATATGGTGTCACTGCTCCAGCAAGATAGGTGAATGTTTATACAAGTTTGAGTAATCAAGGTGTGTGGCTAGGCTGCTGAGAGTGCACAAGCATGCTTTTTCCCCTTTTCCTGATTTTAATATCTGTTCCTGCATGTGTATTAATATTATTGTCATCTTTGGGAGCAAGAAAGTGTTTGCTTAATGTAGGTGGGGGATCTATAAAGCAATTTTGTGGAAGCTCTGTTTTGCATCTGTCCTAACATGTAGAATTTTTATGTGATTGACTCATACCAAATAGATACATACTCCAAAGGTAAAGCTAAGAGTAGATTAGCAATAAAGTGTCAGAATTAATTTCTCTGGCTTTCAGTTCCTTGGCAATTTGTGATTTCAGATTTAACCCCAGAATATGATTTTTTGTAATTTATCTAGGCTTCATTTAGGACTACCTGGCCTTACACCAACCAGGGGATTGTGTGGATACAGGTGCACAGTGAATCATCTGAGGCTCTTGATACTTCCTAAAATGTTTTTAGTAAGCAGTTCAACCAGTTAGTAGGAGTGCACTGATAGAGGTTTTTGGGGCCGATAGTGATAGCCAATATTTAAGGAGGCATATGAGCTGATACCAATTTGATTTCCAATACAGGTATCTCTAGCTGGTAAGTCCAATGTGTTGGGTGAGAAGGGGCATGGGGGGGACAGATCAGTGCCCCCTACGGTGAGGGAGGGTGCAGGGGCAGGCGTTGCCCAGGCGGGGGAGTGGGGGACAGAGCCATGGCTTCTGGTGGGGTTCACGCTGCTGCTTGCAAACTCTGGATTGCATTGGGTGGGCTACAGCCAGGGCTGTGCAGAGCTCTTCTTGG